GGACGGGATCAGATGCACGTTTCTCTACCTGGACCCGGGTCCGCGTCCTCACACCTATCCCGTGCGCCCGCTGGTGGCCCGGGGGTGGTGGGGGTGGGGTGGCAAGGGAGGGCAGTAGCTTGCGTGCGCCCCCACCCCACCCCCACGGCGGGGTTCTGGAGTCCTGGAGGGTCAGGACTGAGCTCCAGCCCTCTGCATGGCCTGATGGTGAGCTCGTCTCCCCTCCCCCAGCGAGCAGGTCCTGGGCTCCTGGTTAATTAGAACCTCCGTGTGGCCCTTCCAACCGCGCCACCCACGCTCTCTCCTCTTCTTCCCAGGTGATGCTAGCGAGGAGGACCATCCCCAAGTCTGTGCCAAGTGCTGCGCACAATTCACTAACCCGACTGAATTCCTCGCTCACCAGAATGCATGTTCTACTGAACCCCCTGTAATGGTGATAATTGGAGGCCAGGAGAACCCCAACAACTCTTCGACCTCCTCTGAACCCCGGTCTGAGGGCCATAGTAGCCCGCAGGTCATGGAGACAGAGCACAGCAATCCCCCGGATTCTGGGTCCTCAGTGCCCACAGATCCCTCCTGGGGGGCAGAGCGGAGAGGAGAGGAGTCTGCAGGGCATTTCCTGGTCGCTGCCACAGGTACAGCAGCTGGGGGAGGTGGGGGCCTGATCTTGGCCAGTCCCAAGCTGGGAGCCACCCCTTTACCTCCAGAGTCCACCCCTGCACCGCCCCCTCCTCCTCCTCCTCCACCTCAGCCCCCAAGTGTAGGCAGTGGCCACTTGAACATCCCTCTGATCTTGGAAGAGCTCCGGGTGCTGCAGCAGCGCCAGATCCATCAGATGCAGATGACTGAGCAAATCTGCAGGCAGGTACTACTGCTTGGCTCCTTAGGCCAGACGGTGGGTGCCCCTGCCAGTCCCTCAGAGTTACCTGGGACAGGGACCGCCTCCTCCACCAAGCCCCTGCTTCCACTCTTCAGCCCCATCAAGCCTGTCCAAACTGGCAAGACGCTGGCACCTTCCTCCTCTTCCACCTCCTCCGCCTCAGGAGCAGAAACATCCAAGCAGGCTTTCTTCCATCTTTACCATCCACTGGGGTCACAGCACCCTTTTTCTGCTGGAGGGGTTGGGCGAAGCCACAAACCCACACCTGCCCCCTCCCCGGCCCTGCCAGGCAGCACAGACCAGCTGATGGCCTCACCTCATCTGGCATTCCCAGGCACCACAGGACTACTGGCAGCACAGTGTCTTGGGGCAGCCCGAGGCCTCGACGCCACTGCCTCCCCAGGGCTCCTGAAGCCAAAGAACGGAAGTGGTGAGCTGGGCTATGGGGAAGTGATGGGTCCCTTGGAGAAGCCTGGTGGACGGCACAAATGCCGCTTTTGTGCCAAAGTGTTTGGCAGTGACAGTGCCCTGCAGATCCACCTGCGTTCACACACAGGTGAGAGGCCCTATAAGTGTAATGTCTGTGGCAACCGCTTTACCACCCGCGGCAACCTCAAAGTGCATTTTCACCGTCATCGTGAGAAGTACCCGCACGTGCAGATGAACCCTCACCCCGTGCCAGAGCACCTAGACTACGTCATCACCAGCAGCGGCCTGCCCTATGGTATGTCTGTGCCGCCAGAGAAGGCCGAGGAGGAGGCGGCCGTGCCGGGCGGAGGAGTGGAACGCAAGCCTCTGGTGGCCTCTACCACAGCACTCAGTGCCACAGAGAGCCTGACGCTGCTCTCCACGGGTGCGGGCACAGCCGCGGCTCCTGCCCTCCCTGCTTTTAATAAGTTTGTGCTCATGAAAGCAGTAGAGCCAAAGAGTAAAGCTGATGAAAATACTCCTCCGGGGACTGAGGCCTCCGCCATTGCAGGGGTGACAGAAAGTGGCACAGCAACTCGCATGCAGCTAAGTAAGTTGGTGACTTCCCTTCCCAGCTGGGCACTGCTTACCAACCACTTTAAGTCCACGGGGAGCTTCCCCTTCCCTTATGTGCTAGAGCCCTTGGGGGCCTCACCTTCTGAGACGTCGAAGCTTCAGCAACTGGTAGAAAAGATTGACCGACAGGGAGCCGTAGCAGTGGCCTCTACTGCCTCAGGAGCTGCCACCACCTCTGCTCCTGCAGCCTCCTCTTCAGCCTCATCTGGACCTAACCAGTGTGTCATATGCCTGCGAGTGCTCAGCTGTCCTCGAGCACTGCGCCTGCATTACGGCCAACATGGAGGTGAGCGGCCCTTCAAATGCAAAGTGTGCGGCAGAGCTTTTTCTACTCGGGGCAACCTGCGAGCACATTTCGTGGGCCACAAGGCCAGTCCAGCTGCTCGGGCCCAGAATTCCTGCCCCATCTGCCAGAAGAAGTTCACCAATGCGGTTTCTCTGCAGCAGCACGTTCGAATGCACCTAGGGGGCCAAATCCCCAATGGTAGTACCACGCTCCCTGAAGGGGGGGGAGCTGCCCCGAAGAATGGCTCTGAGCATTCTACAGTCCCTGGGGTAGGGGCCTTCCCTCAGCAACCATCCCAGCAGCCGTCCCCGGAAGAGGAGTTGTCTGAAGAGGAGGAGGAGGAAGAGGAAGAAGAGGAAGATGTGACCGATGAAGATTCTCTGGCAGGAAGAGGCTCAGAGAGTGGAGGCGAGAAAGCGATATCGGTCCGAGGTGATTCCGAAGAGGCATCTGGAGCGGAGGAGGAAGCGGGGATGGCGGTGGCGGCAGCCACAGCCGGGAAGGAGATGGACAGTGATGAGAAAGCGATTCAGCCGCCTCCTCTGCCGCCACCACCACCACCACCAGACAGCCTGGATCAGACACAGCCCGTGGAGCAGGAGGGCAGTGATGCTGCAGGAGGCACGGAAGAGGGGGGCAGACCAGAGAGGAGCTCGAGCCCGAAGGCAGCTCTCGCCCTTGAAGGGGAAGACAGCAGCGGCACCTTGGTGGAGGAGCTGAGCGGGCAGGAAGTGATGAGAAAGGAGCCGGGAGAAGGCAGTAGCAGAAAGGCCTGTGAGGTGTGTGGCCAGGCCTCTCTCACCCAGGCAGCTCTGGAGGAGCATCAGAAGACCCACCCCAAGGAGGGGCCCCTCCTCACTTGTGTTTTCTGCAGGCAGGGCTTTCTCGAGCGGGCTACCCTCAAGAAGCATATGCTGCTGGCTCACCACCAGGTACAGCCCTTTGCCCCTCACGGCCCTCAGAATATTGCTGCTCTTTCCTTGGTCCCAGGCTGTTCCCCCTCCATCACTTCCCCAGGGCTCTCCCCCTTTCCCAGGAAAGATGATCCTACGATCCCATGAGCCTGTGTTTTGTACCTCCTGCCCTTTGACCTAGGTTGCAGAAACTGAGAGCTCTGTAGAAGGACCTCCAAGATTTAAGAGCCCTTATTTGTCTTTTTCTTTGATTTCTTACATAATATGGCCCAAGTGGTTTTTCTCTAGTCCCTGAGCTTGGAAATTGTTGTGCTTACAGGAGGATGGCCCCCTGAGGAATTTTTCTTCTCTCTTCATTCATTGTACCTTAGGGAAATAGATTGTCTACAGCTTTCACATTCCCAAGGGAACCCCTCCCCAGCTTCCCTGGGGTGACCCTTCTTCCCCCTCCTCTCTTCCACTCCCTTTCCCTTTGGCAGGTGCATCTGAGCACCCACATTTGGAATTGCAGCCCAGCCCGAAGGGGCCAACAGCTTTCCCTGCAGGGCTCAGTTCCACTCCTCTCTGGTGACCAGGTCAACCTACAGGGCTTCTTGTCCCAAGACACTTCTCAGTTGGTGAGGGTGTGACCCCTGTCTTTCTGGAACCAGTATGTGGCTTTCCTGTCAAGTGACCTGCCCACCAAGCCTGGGAGTCCCATCTCCATCTCCACTATACTACTTCAGCACCACCAGTGCTATTTGGCCCAAGAACTGTGGCTGGGAACTTGCCTCCAGCAATGGGAATCTGAGAGGCCAAGGAGAAAAGAGTCCTCCTCTTATTTCCGCCTCCTGCATCCAAGGCAGTGCCTGAACAGCTTATAGAAGTAGCAGACTGCACATTCCTTCTCCTTCCCCCTGGTCCAAGAGGTGCTAGCAGTGAAGCTACAGCGGTATCTGTATCTGTGGCTCAGCCCTATGGGGTAGGGAGAAATGAAGGACATACTCTTGCCAGTAGCTCCTTGATAATCACATTAAGGCAAAGGTCAATATGCCAAGACATCTCCAGCTTCTCACATTCCTTCATGATTGCCTCTCAAAATTAGGAAACAAGTGGATTTCTTGCCAAGAGGTGTCCCATGGAATATTTTAGGAAATGTGAAGTTCATATCTTGAACAAGCACTGTTGGTGAGGTTAGTTGAAGAAGTAATGATGGAGAGTTGAGGAGTGTTACTGAAGTACAGGGCTTTATATTGGGAACCTGTGTGATTAAGAAAGAAACATGATGTGAGGTAGTGGACCTCAAATTCTTGATTGGATGGGTTTCATGAATGTTCTTTTGTACTAAGTGATTTAGTGTGCAGCAATGCACCACAGGTCATGGGAGATTTCCTAGCACTAGTGTGCTTCTAGTTTTAGATAACTCCCTCCTTTATTCCCTGGCAATCTTGTATTTTCCTTCTTTCTCAAGACCCAGTTCCTCCCCATTTTGCCTAGTCCATTGACCGGGGCTTATGTCTTTGCTACTGTCTGGTTCTTAGAGTCCCAGACTTTGGGAGATGAGCTCCAGCTGGTGTCCTCCCTGCCTCTCCGTCTTATAATGAGATGTAGTATTTACTCTTAACATAGGATCATTTGGAACAGTTCTGAGGAGGAGAAAGTGTTGGTTCTGCTAGTGACTGACCTGAATGATGACTTCTCCTCCGAAGGTGTAGGCTCCAGAGCTTCCTAACATAGTAAAATGTGAAGAGCAGACAAGGGAGATGTTAGTGTCTTTCCCTTTTCATTAAAAGTGTTTTAACCAAATATTTGTGTGTTTCTCCTTATTTCATGACTAAATAGCCAGCTGGGGTGTGATATGGCATTCCCTAACATTGAGATTCCCTTCCCACCTATATGTCTTGCCAAAAGCTGAACATATGGTGTTAAAATATTTAATTTATTCAGCCTTGTCTTAAAACAGCCTCCAGTGCATGTAATTTCCCTGTGGAAATGGACTTTGTGTTCTCAAAAGGTAGGGAATTTGCCCACTGTGTGCAGTCATTCTCTTTGCCTAGAACCTTATACTGCCAAGCTTTTGTGTTTTATTTTGTTGGGTTTTTTTTTTTCTTTTGTTTACAGTTTGGAAGCTGTTTCTTTATCAGTCTTTCCTGAACTCCAGGCCAGCCTGGCTGAAATCAGTTAGTCTGCAGAACCAAGCTGAATTCATCTTTATGATCCTTGAGATCTGATACTATAAATAGATAGAAAAAGTAATTCAGCCCTAATAATTTCTGCCAACAAGATAAAGGAGAATTATTAGTAGAGGAAGTATATGAGGGGTGGGAGGCATGAGATGAAGCACTTATTTATTTTAATTATTTATTTTACTTTGTTTCCTTATAACACCATAAGGTTCATATTTCACTCTAAGACGTTGGTTTCATAAAGAGAAGATGCTCCAGAATTTATTTTTTTGTAAGACTGATTACAGTATCACTGATGGAACTGGTAAAATGATCTACCCAAAGTCACTTGGCTAATTAGTGGCAGAGTTGGATTAAGAACCCAAATTGAAACAATCACAGTCTTAGTGCTACAACCAGTGATCAGGGTTGGTGTTGGCTTCCTGCTACATTGTTAAGAACTCCTGGTATATGGCTGCCTGGAAGACAGAAGGGAGGACGTGAATAAATCTATTTTGGCTTGATTCAAGGTAAGAACAATATTTGATTCTAGTTGCCCCCACCAGAATAGTACAGATCCCTTTAAAAGGTACTGACACTGATGAATAGGAACACATGGGAGTCTTATGAACTCGACTCAGGGAAGAAACAGCTCCTGTCTCTTCAACTGCTGGCAAAGCTTTATAAATCTGTTTTTCTTTTCAGCCTGTGGAAGGAGATGGGTCACCAATCCTTCTATTTTCTTTACCTCACCTACCCCTATTAGACATAGATAATGCCACTTAACTAATTAAACTAGACTTGCCCTCTCTTTAGATGCCAGTTCCCATTATGGTCACAGCTGTCAGTGAGGCTTCTACTGATGAATGCTTTGGACAGGTCGACACAGTCTGATCCCCCACTTCCCTCTTTCTGTCTCCTTTTCATTCTTTTTCCTACCTTTTTTTCTTTCATTGACCTCTTTTACCTGACAGTTTTAAAAATATATATTTTAAATATTTTTATTGATTTTTAGAGAGAGAGGAAGGGAGAGGGACAGAGAGAGAGAGATAGATGTGAAAGCGGAGCATCAGTTGGCTGCCTCCTACATACCTGTACCAGAGACTGAGCCTGCAACCCGGGCACGTGCCCTGATCTGGAATTGAACTGGTAACCTTTTGGTGCACAGGACGATGCCCAACCAACTGAGCCACACTGGCCAGGGCTTACCTGACAATTATTTTTTTCTCTTCACTTTAATCTTCTTAGTGCTTTTTAGTCTCCCTTATTGCAGCCTCCAACCCCTACTATATCTCACTTTTTTAAAACATTTTTTCACTGATTCCAGAGAGAGGAAGGGAGACAGAAAGAGAGAACATCAATGTGAGAGAGAAACAGCCATTGGTTGCCTCCTGCACTCATCCCAACTGGAGATGGAACCTCAACCAGGGTATGTGCCCTGACTGGGAATTGAACTCTCTACTTTTTGGTGTATGAGACGATATTCTAACAAACTGAGTCACCTGTCCAGGGCATTTCTCACTCTTAATCACTCACTTGGTCATCTTTTTGGAAGGTGAATGAATTTTAACCTGGTGGAATGAATATGTAAATAAATGCAGCTCACAAAACAATTTACATGAAATAAAACTAGACCCAGTTCAAACTGGATGGATAAAAAGCATCTATTAGAAGTAAGAGGCTACTTCTTTGCTTATTCATTCAGTTAATTTCTGAGGAATTATTTTCTTTCAGATACCAAGTATTGAACAGGTACAAAATAACACACACTTCTGCCCCTAAAGGAGCGCAGTCTAGGAAAAGGAAAAATGTAAACATTTTTTACATGGTGGTAGTAAATACTAACAGACACAATGGCCTGCAGGTTCCCAGAGGGAAATAACTCAATGCAAAGATGGAGAAGGGTGAGGGCACACACAAGTCTCTTGAATTCAGCTTTTTTAATAACCACTTAGAATATACCAACCCAGTCCATACAACAACCCAAGGACCAATGCAGTTACCATTTAAGAATCTACGCAAGATACACTGAGTCTTTTTTGGCAGATACAGAGATGTGCTGCTTCAGAGGTGTTCCTTTAAGAGTAAAACGGTGCTCTGGCCAGTGTGGCTCAGTGGTTAAGAGTGTTGGCCTGCGCATCAAAGGGTCTGGGGATCGATTCCCAGTCAAGGGGCACGTATCTGGGTTGCAGGTTTGATCCCTGCTCCAGTTGGTGCACAAGTGGGAGGCAGCCAATTTTCTTTCTCACATGGAAGTTCCCCTCCCTTCCTCCCTTCCTCCCTCCCTTTCTCCTTTCTACTCTCTCTAAAAATCAATGGGAAAAAATATCCTTGGGCAAGGATTAACAAAAGAAGAATGAAATGGCTACCTAGCTGCAAAAAGCCTAGCTAGCTAACAGCCTCCAGCTGTCCCACTCTTCACTAACCCTTGGCCAATGACTGAGCAAGGTGGTGGGTGGTACAGGGGCCTAGACATTCCCATGGGACATTCCCATGGAAGATGGGGCTCTAATGAGCAATTTTTTCTCAGGAACTCCCCATTGGGCTGGCAGAGACTTTGTGAGGTCTGCATCATAGTCTGACAGCTCTCGCTGCCCAATCCTGCTTCCCCCCTCCTCCCACCCTTTTTCTACAACTACTCCTCAATAAAACTTTGGGCTCCTGCTTCTTAGAGATTTCAATCTTTGTCACCCCTAAAAAGACCTAAATTCTATTGATACATTTTCATTTCTCACAAACTCCTGCTCCTGGGACTCTGGTTACCATCCCTGGAACTTCTCAGTAAACCAAGGAACATCTGTCTCCTGATTCCCAAAACAGACTTCACTGGTGTTACTCTCAATTAGACCCAACTATGACTTCTCTTTCCATGTCCTTCCTTTTCTAATGTTTAATTTAATAAATTGCCTAACGCCAGTGGACATTTTGCTTTTGATCATAAAATATAAAACTGAGTAAGGACAAAAACTTACTAAAAACAAAAAACATTTGGCCAAAGAGCCTTTGATTGGTACTGTGGATATTTCAGTAATTCATTGCTGTGTAACAAACCATCCCCAAACTTAGCGTCTTAATAATTACGTATTTGCTTGTGGTTCCATGTGTCTAAGCAGGCATGGCTTGTCTTACATTCCATGTGGTGAGGGCTGAGCTCCCTCAGGCACACTGATTTGGGCTGGAGGATCCAAGTTGGCCTTACTTCTGGTCCCTCAACTGAATGGCTGGAATGTTGGAGCCTCTTTCATAGATTCATCCTCTATGGCCTCTTTCCCTTTGAGGTCTTTCAATCTCTAGAATATCTTTCTTTCACCTCTCTCTTTTTAAGTGGTTTATCTATCATGATAACTAGATGTCCATGCAGGCCAGGTCTCTAAGAAAACAAAAGAGAAACTGTAAGTTCTCTTAAGGCCTAGGCTCTGAAACTTAGTATCACTTCTGCCACCTTCTGTTGGCCAAAGCTAGTCAGAAGGCCAGCTCAGATTCAAGAGGAGAAATGAGCCCTACCTGTTAGCAGGAAGAGTGTCATAGTCACACTGCATAAGGGTATGTGGGTTGGGAGGCATTGTTGAGGCTAACTCTGTAAAGTCTACCACAGCAGATATGAGGAAATAGTTAAGAAATGTAATTTATGCAGCACTCATCAGCTCACAACTAGGCTTACACTCTGTTTTGACTAGAAAAGGTCTAGGTGAGGTTCTTTCCTGTCTGCAGTGCTCAGGGTTGTATATAGACCAAGAGTGGGCAGACAAGAAAGCAGTAGCTTTCTTTTGAGCAGAAAACTGGTCATGAGGAGTCTAGAAAAAATCTATATGCAAATCATGCTAAGGTGGCCCTCCTGTGCTCCTAAAATTTGCCTAATTTACTACTGTCATAATTTACCCAAAGTGAGCGTGAAAGTAAAGACCTCTGGGAGCTGCCCTTGATCTGGTTGATTTTCAGAAGTACCTGTGCTGCTTCTTTGGCTTCCTCTGAGGTGAGAGGAGGCAATCCAGGCCTTAGGAATCCCAATTTCTACCAGAGACTATGTCTCTTCTACTAGAAAATCTTTCCTTTCCTAGAGAAAAATGCTTATAATGTTTAAAGGTTGACCTGCAGAATTCTGACTTTAAGATGAATCAACCCCCTTCATCTTCTGCAAGGATATATCCAGTACTCTCTCCCCCAAGACTATTAGTTTTACTGTTATGTAAATTTTTATATATTTCATTTCTATTTGTTCAGGTCCTTGAAACAGTGATCTGATAACAAATGAGAAATTCAGACTTGGGAACAATCAACTGTTAACTTTTAACAGTTCTATAATACAGCAAAAATAGGGCTATCGTACTTTGGTAATAATACATGTGTCTACACATAGGGCCACCCAGGATACACCCCAAATGAAAGTACAAAAGCATCCCTTGTTAACTTTCTTGAGGGCAGTTGCTAGACCAAGGTTATTAAGGAAGCAAAACCCCTTAGGTAGAGCAGTCCACTTGAGCAGTCTGCATGATCTCACATCAGCCAACTTTCTCAAGAGTATTTCCATTGAGGAAGGTAGCATTTTTGCTTCTCATTAAGTGTAATCCTGAGAAGTAAATGTTCAGAGATGCTCATGTGTGTGCATATTCATTTCGGTGTCCTCTACTTCTAGGGTCATAT